ACGGTTGTTGGACCTGTTTTGGGGTGGAAAGTGAAGAGAGTTGAGCTAGAGTCAGCTGTTTACACAGTCCGTTGCACTTCTCAGCATGCAGATTTCCCCTGGTAGGATTTCTTCTAAAACTAATGGGACTGCGGGAGATAAAGCATAAATCATTGGTTCCAGATGTTGCTTCAGATGTAGAAGCGGCAAACACAATATACTGAATTGGTTCAAAAGGCACACTATGAAGTCAAAATATAGTACCTACTATGGACCTGGCCCAATCCTTTTTGGCATACATTATTCTTGTATACATTATTTTTCATAGAACTTCATGGGTGGTGAATTGAGCATCTGCATCTAAATAGAGACAAAAAAAAAGTTCCCATTCAAGACATAAAAACATGTCCCTTTTTCTCTTGGCTTGTTTTCTGCTATCATATCCAAGACCTAGAAAAGGGGGGGGGGGGGGGGAGACTGCAGACACATCTTTATCATTCTTACTCTTAAGGCAGTTTGGGTAGGGAGGAAGAGAAATAACAAGGGGCCTAGCGGGCTTAAAAGACATCTATACCCTAAGTATATCCTTGCATTTAGTTCCAGTTAAGGTGTTGGGATGCGGCGCGTGGCTCAACTGAAGAAATCTGGACTATTTGGGGCTTGCCTAATGCTCTATATGAGAATGTGGGGTCCTCTCATGGATGGAATCTATAGTTGATAAACTGACTGATGCTGCCATTAAGTAATCCATCTTAATCCAGGGAATTGACAGCTCCTTTTCTTTGATGGCATCTAAGAATCCACGTGCCAAGACTAACCCTAATAATCTACCTCTGTTATTTTGGATACATGTTATCTGGTGAATTGGCTTCAACAGCAAAAGCCAATAGAGTAGTCAACACTTAATCCATGTTTCCTCATCAATGTATAGCTCTGGTATGTTATTTAGGTAAGTTTAAGAGGATCCAGTACCTAGGCAAGTTATCAGGTAGTCAATATCCAAATCCCCTACCCTTTAGCAGAGGAACAACGAAACGGGTGGAATGCTTGGGGGCCTGGGGTCCAGCAGTCTGGAGTTAGAGCTAGAGGTTGGGTATTTACTAGGTTTTCAGAGGAAGAAGAGAAAGAAGGAGGAGGAAGAGAAGTGGATAGGGAAGAAGGAGAAGTAACTTGTTGGTGAATCGAACTCCAAAGTTAGAAAGATCAAATATAAAGGAGTAAAATCTGGAGCTAAAGGAAAAAAACCCTAAAATTGATGTGCGAAATCTTGGTAGATTAGAAGGCTGTGAATTCACAGCCTCGAGGCAGGTGGTCTTTGCAGGCCAGGGGGTAGCAAACTATCCTGGAAGAGCAGGGTCAAGATCATCGTCTCTCACTTGGCCTTCTGAGGTTTTCTAGCTGGCTTCCCCGGTTCCAGACGCCCCTGCCAATCCCTGCCTCGTGCGGCTGCCAGAATTCCATTTACGAAATTCAAGTCTGGTTATATCAGTCTGCAGCTCACAAACCTCTCCTCGGCCTCCCACAATTAAAGGGCAAAGTCCAAGCTCCTTCGCATGACATTTAACGTCCGGCCCAAGCGCAAAGTCTGCTTTGCAACCTCATCTCCCGATTCCGATTCCCGCTACGTATGCAGTGCTCTAGTCCCACAGGATTGTATCCGTGTCTTCCTTCTGCATATACTTTGGTCTTTCATGCTTGTTTGGTTTACTTTCCTCGCTTGGAATGGCCTCGTCTCTCTGTGCCTGGGAAAACGCAAGGCTAAGCTCAGCTATCTTTATAACAGAGTTCTAACCTGCTCGCTGGGTTTCCTTAATATCATACGTGCAGTGATTTTTCTCTATAACAACACTGCCCATCAAACTGTGACCTTGCTTAGGACTTTATTCACTCTAGGAGTCTACCACAGTCTTTATCTGCCTATACAATCAGCATTTGTTGAATTAATAAATGTATTTATAATGTGCCAAAATGTTTCTTTACGGTAATAAATATTTTATATTATGTTAAAAATCATAGAGGACCCATATCATAAATTAGACTCTGTGGGTTGTTTACAAAAATAAAGCCTCAACACTTGCCTGCCTAAATATGAGTTAGATAAGAGCAACAGCCCTCCATGAAGAATTACCATCAATGAAGGAATGCTAAAAGTAGGAGAAATAGTCTTCCTCAGAGATGAGCATGCCAAATAGCAATCCAATACCAAGTGGTGACAGATAACATTACACAGACTGAGCAGGGCATGCTAAGGAATATACTTGTGCATGTCCATATACATATGCAGGTACATATGCATGTAACGACAGTTAATAAAAAGAAGAGTCCATGAATTTCAAAGAAAGCAAGGAGGGATGTATGAGAGGTCTTGGAGGGAGGAAATGGGGAAATGATGTGATTATATTATAGTTTTAAAATAAAAGAAATAATTAAAAATAAAGAAAACATGAAATTGGGAAGAGCTAGGGGTATTGGGCAGATCTGAGAGGCTTTAAGGGTCGGGGTAGATGATGAATGATATCAAAACACATTTGAGACATTATGAAACTATCAAATAATTAATAAAAGTATTATAATAAAAATCATTGAAGGGCCCAAAAGTCTGATTGTTTCATATTAGATACTTGTTTTTTTTATTTCCAGTGTAATAAAAATAGTGCTGCAATTATGTGATCTAATCCTATTGGCTATTGAAGTTCTCGGCCAAAGTTACCCAAGGGACAACAGGTGACCGTAGTAAAAAAATCACAAAGGTGACAGATACACTGACCACGTCCTAACTTCTGCTACTACTACTTGCTCCTGAATGTAGAACATCTCGCCATCTTTATTCCCTTTTGTACATACTCCTGCTTTTAATTTCTCCTGTGGGGTACAAACCAGATCTCCAAAAGCAATAGAATGATTTGGATCAATGCCTAAAAATATGACATGTTTGTAGACACAGCATTTAGATTTCTGAAGGGACTTTTCTAAAATGTATTTATTGTGTCTCTGGTAATAATCCAGTCTATGGTGAGTGCACTTTACATTCAACATGAATGACAACTAACATAGACATTTCTTGTAAAATCACAGTGAATGGATGCCCTCATAACCTCGGTGATATGGCACCATTTCCTGGTGACTTAGGTATTGTGTAGCTATTTTTTAAAAAAATTTTTTGGCTTTTCAAGACAGGGTTTCTCTGTATTGTTTTGGAGGCTGTCCTGGAACTCACTCTGTAGACAAGGCTGGCCTCGAACTCACAGAGTTCTGCCTGCCTCTGCCTCCCGAGTACTAGGATTAAAGGTGTGCACCACCACTGCCTGGCTTTGGTTTTTCTTTTTTTAAGTTGACAATGACCTTATCTTATTGTAGTATGAAATTAGGGAAATTTTTGCATCTCTAAATGCTATTCCTTGCCTTACACCTACTTCCCTGGCACTAAACTGATGAGTAGGACATGCGTGTCACTCAACCGGTAGCTGTTTGCAGGCACGCCCACTCTCCACAGCTCATCAAACATGCGTTGAGGACAGCCAAGACTCTCACTGTATGCAGTAGACACTGCTACTGAGTGTGAGACACAACTATTAGTGAGCACTGGGAAAAAATACCCATTTTCCATTTTACTCTAGGGAGTAAGCATGCACTTTCAAGTAAGAAAATGCATGCTAGCTGAAGGGAATTACGAAAGGAGAAACATGGAGCTGGTCCTTTAGCGAGAGATCTGACGAGCCTCCTGGAGCTGGAAGCTGGTCCTCCTGGAATGGCTGCAAAGGGAGATGCGGAGTTAACAGGCGAGCACTGGGTGCCGTGGCAGACTGCAGCTGTTCTTATCGGGCATTTTGTGGTGCTATTGGACACTTTCCAAACCGTCCTTGCTCGTGGCGAGCCCCGTGCCCCAGCCCTTCTGTAGCTTTGTGAGCCCCCCAAATCCCTCTGCCATTTTCTGTCTGTGGCCTGTTTTCCTTGAAGCCACCATACAGTTTCTGTTGTGTGGTATATTCTAAGCAGGGAGAGAGACATTAAACACAAGCGAATTAGAATCACTAGCTGCGACTAACAACCGTGGCACTGACACGTCAACGTGGTGCCTCTGGCGGGGAGTGAGGTTTTAAGTTGCGGCCCCGCCTGCCTTTCTGACGTTCACAAGTGCGTAACAGACGATGGGGATAGCTCAATACGAAGAAAGCTAGAGTCTGCCTGACAACTATGCATACTTCACAGGGAGACTGTGACATAATTGCCTGAAATCTAAGACAGGAAACACTTTTGGCCATGAGGCCTCTAATATCTCTTCTCTGATTACAAATTAGCTCAAGGTCAACAGGCGTATAAAAGTAAATTATGTGTGATGAATGGTTCTTAACCCTTTACATCATGTTCTTTTACAGTGTCACTGAGTTGGTTAACTATATCCAATGCATCCCCTAGGCACCGTGGCACTCACAACTCTGTCCTAAAACAGACTGGCAAACTAACCCGGAGGTTATCAATAGTAGATACAAAGATTAGGTGTTCAAGCCAGACAGGGTCCCAGCACTGAGAGGGGGAGGGGTGGACACAAGCTCCTACCTCTAACCAACACGCTATCTCCAGTTGACATCTGCTTGCCAAGGAAAAATTAGTTTTCTCCAGTGGAGTCTCACTGGGTATATTAAGTACACTTAATGGTAGGTCCAATGCCCAGCAGTAGATGGTCGACACTAACGGAAGTCAATGGTATTTCTGTAGACTCTTTGTGTCTCATCTTGCTTTGTTTGGGCCCTTTTTGTCTTACTGGTCATTTGTATGTTATGGTTTCTACTTTTGTGTTTTTACGGGCTTTGCGTGTGTGTGTGTGTGTGTGTGTGTGTGTGTGTGTGTGTTGTGCTTTCTTTTTAAAAGATATTTTGGCCTGTTTGTAGAGAGAGAGAGAAAGATGTCATGGACTCAGGTGGGTGGGATTGTGTCTTAATCTGTGTTCTATTTCTGTGAAGAGACACCATGACCACAGAAACTATTGTAAAAGAAAGCATTTAATTAAGGTCTGCTTACAGTTTCAGAGGTTGACTCCAGCGGGACGCATGGCAGCTTGCAGGATACATCTGTGGCCTGTGCCAGGGGGGAGAGCTGTCCCTAAGGAGTCCAGAACAGTAAGCATTTATTTCATCATTTTGCTATCCAATTACATAAATATTTATCTGTATTATGTGCTTGTGGGAAGAGTGACATCACATCCTGAGAGCAAGCATTAACACTTAGAAATACAATTGTAACTAAGAAACATTTCCAAAAACTTATTGGATAACCTCCTGTTTTTATCTTACTTGTGGGATGATTTCATTACATCAAGTAAAAACCTGAGATAGATCCGTTTTTAACATTTTTATTGATTCTTTGAGGATTTCACACAGTGTGTTTTGGTCATATTCACCCCAACTCCTCCCCCTAACTCCTCCCAACTCCACCTCCACTCCTGTCAACTCATGGCCTCCTTTTTAGGAAAAAATAATGACCCATCAAGTCCAATTTGCACTGCTCGTATACTCCTGGGTGTGGACCAACTGTTGGAGCCTGGTCGGCTACCAGGGGCCACACCCTTAAAGAAAACTGGCTCTCCCTCCCTGAGAAGCCATCATGTGTCAGTAGATCCTCAGTTATTCAGAGGATACATTGAATTACTCTGAATTTCTACTAGGAAATATTTTTTAAAATATCAGTTTAGTGACATTTTGAAACCCAAAATCTTTATGGCTGACTGAGGTCAGTTCAAACACTTACTAATGGAGGAGAGGGTTATAAAAGCCAGAGTCAATTAGTTATTTTATTAATAATAAATCATAAATCAATTTTTAAAGATTTTACTCTTACGTGTGAACCGCTTTGAGTCCAAGGAGAAACACCTAAAATAATATGACCTTGCTATGATCAAAAGGCAAAATTTTCCCTCCAATAAAAGGAGCAAATTATCCTCATTTTCCTCCATCCATTCCCAGCCTCTCTTCCCAGATGTTGTCACCGCTGAAATTACTGTTGCTGATTCCTATGACATATAATTGGTAACTGGAACACGCGTGTTACATGCACATGCAGCCATTGTTTATGGACTCCAGACTTGGTAGTTGGAACACGCGTGTTACATGCACATGCAGCCATTGTTTGTGGACTCTAGACTTGGTAGTTGGAACACGCGTGTTATATGCACATGCAGCCATTTTGTGGACTCCAGACTTGGTAGTTGGAACACGCGTGTTACATGCACATGCAGCCATTGTTTGTGGACTCTAGACTTGGTAGTTGGAACACGCGTGTTACATGCACATGCAGCCATTTTGTGGACTCCAGACTTGGTAGTTGGAACACGCGTGTTACATGCACATACAGCCATTGTTTATGGACTCCAGACTTGGTAGTTGGAACACGCGTGTTACATGCACATGCAGCCATTTTGTGGACTCCAGACTTGTGAATCTGCCTGCTCATCAAGCTTGCTTGTGCCACAAAAATCAGTAGCCATGGAGCTTTCTTCAGTCACCGACAGACGTGCACACGGCGGTGGACGTTTTACGTCTCTCTGCCATCTTGTGTCAGCCGATGCCCTGCGGTCTGTGTAGTGCCATGTTTTTTTTACGCTTTTGTGAGCTCTCTTGACGAATTCATCCTTTTAGAGTGGAATCCAAGAGGTACTGCAGTGTAGTCTAGTGCTCCTAAGTGCAAAGAGGCTTCCATGCACCTCATGCAGAAAGTATGTGTTAGATAAGCATTGTTAGGCTCGCGTTCAAGCGGTGCTCGTCATAAATTCCATGGGGCACACCTACAAGTGTCCTTAAATAGAGAGCATGTGAGGCAAAGCTGCGTTGGTCAGTTAATTGAGATATGACCAAAACATTTCAGGTACCCAGCCCTATATTTCCCCTAGGAGCAATGATTCAGTATTTGCTAATTCAGGGTTCATGGAATCTTTGTAGAACAGCCACAAATAATGAGAATAAACCATCTTCATAAATAATAAATGATGATGTTGTTTATATTTCAGGTTAGAATCCTGTACCATATTTTATTTATCCTTTGGATATTTTCTTCATTCAGTACTACTTTTAAGATTTATGAACTTGATAGAGTCCAATGCCCTTTTCTGACTTCCTTGGGCACCAGGCATACAAGTAGTCCACATACAGACATGTAGACAAAATAGTCACACACAGAAAATAATGAAATAAATGTTTTTAAATTTAAAAAAGATTAAGACACTAGGAAATAAAAATTTTACTTTGTGGTATAAAATGACATTAAACTGTCTAAGAATAAATTAATTCAAAGTTCTTTCAATTTTCTATTGTACTTTTTTAAATTCATCTGTTTCTTAGAAATACATAAATACATTGTGTAAGGCAGAGTGGGGAAGATTCTTGTACGTTCGGGGCAGCTCTGGTCTACATAGTGAGTTCTAGGCCATCTGAGGTTATGTAGTGAGATTCTATTTAAAGAAAAAAAACAACAATAGTAACAAAAGAAACATGATAATTTTCAAATATGTGGAAATTTAAAGTTTTTCTCTGAATTAATTTCTTGCTCCAGACAAATCACACCAAATAATTTCAATATTTTTCCCTGAGGTTGTGTACTGATGCAATTTAACAACAAATCGTGTTTGCTTTATTGTCACTGATGCAACTACCTGCTTGCTCTGTTTCTAATTATTTATTTAGAAGCAGTGCATTGCAATAATTAGTTATTATATATTTCATACATTTATAAGTACCATAGTTGGGTAATGAGTGTAAGATATGTACCTACAGTTTCACAGGTGCTGCAGTTTCCAAAGAGATGGGAATGGCTTGTTCTCCACGTGTGAGAAGCCAAAGACCTCAGCAGGCCGGTAGCTTGGCCATAGTCGCAGGCCTTGAAGTTGGGGTTTTCCCGTCTCAGCCTCCTGAGTGCTAAGGTTACAGGCATGTGCTCTCACACCCATCTCTGCCTGTGCATGTTAAAATTGTTTTATGGCTAACCATCTCTTCTTGTCTAGTCTGCTTACAGAACTTTAACTATAGCAAGTATTTTGATGACTATGATATGTGCTGTAGGTAGTTCCATATTTCTTCAGAGATTTGTTTTCCTTCTTGGGGGAAATTTAGGCAGACGGTGACCAGGTGAGGTTTTCTTCCCATCTTTAAGACACACAGTGGACTCTGGCGGATATTTCAAGGGAGAGGCAATCAGCCCACAGGGGCCACATTCCCTGGACTCCTTGTCTTTCCAGCTCTGTTGGAATTCTGCCTTCCTTCGTTCTTCTGATAGTTTATCCCATTACTTTTATTCCCGCTAACAATCTTTATACTTCACTACTGACTTCGTTGTCCCCTGTGACTCTCCCAAAACCCGTATACTCCAGTTCTTAGTGACTCCGAGCCAGCCCCCAGTTCTTCCCAATACCACATATTTCCTTCCAGTGGATGTTAGGGTAAGCCGCTTTGCCAACCCTTGGCACTTTCCACAGCTCTCTTAGCCTTTCCAAATCTCCTTGGCTATTCTTTTACAGCTCAGTCTCCCCCAGGGAATGAAGAGTTGTTTTGCATGGGCATGACCCCACTCCCTTCCGGGCAGACAGGGCTACGCCTGTGCATGGGTGGTCAATGAATATTGTTTTTCAGTAAGTAAATGGGTGGCAGTTAGTCTCATTTTCTAGACCTGGGGAGTACTCTTTCTGTCTCTCGAAAGATGATCAGAAGTGAAGAACAGGCTTTGAGAGGTGATGAGATGAGAAGACATTTCTGCCCTTGCTTTTTTTTAGAGTAAAGTTATTTATTCGGATGATATGCGATCATTTCCACTTTATTAGAGCCCACAATAGTTCCCGGTACAATGGTGAATAGGAAATCTTATTTGGATGCTTGTCTGTTTCTTGTGTCTTGATTAAATGTTTGAAGATTTGTGTAAGTGAATAGATAAGTCATAGATTTCACTCATTTTGCATAATTTGTTTTCTTTCACTGATCATATCTGCAGGTGTTCTGTGTCCCAGACAAGTATATCAAATAATCTGAGAGCACTGTATTTGCATAACTGAAATGCATTTGCTATTTGATTTGCCCACAACTACCAGCTTGCATCCAAATCCTAAACAAACAAACACTTACGCAACAAGGGAGCCTGAATGAAGACTTTTCTTTTCCTTTTTCCTTCCTTCTTTCCTTCCTTCTTTTCTCCTTTCCTTCCTTCCTCTCTCCTTTCCTTCCTTCCTGCCTTCCTACCTCCCTCTCTCCCTTCTTTGACTGAAGCTTTATAACCCTCTCTAACATATGTCCACTTTCAGTCTTGTAACTACTAATGCATTTTTCAGCGCTCTTATTAAGACTGTTTAAAGCTTTGCACACAAAGGGATGGTAAAGCCAGATTCTGTCTCTATGAAATGTTAAATATACTAGATTTTCCTCCCCACTCAAAAGGAATACTAGTATTCCCCGCAATCATGCCCTCTGAGAGGGTGATGAAATGCCAACAGGTGAACTGCTAATGTGATCACTCAGAACATGAAAAGTTTCCTTGTGAAGCTGAGATAGGAGGATCTTTTGAATCCCAGGCCAGATGGGCTCAGAGTGAGACGCTGTCTCTAAAACAGGAAACCAGCCAGCCACGGACCCCTCCCTCAAAAAAGAGAAAAGCAAAAATATTAAACACACAACCCTTTCTCTTTCTGAGAATTTTATTCCCCAGAGCAGTTACTAAAAATAACGTGGTCCATATACTCCAAATAAACTTAATGAAATTACACAAAGCACACCCTGAAAAGTTTAAGTTTTCAAATGGAAATCAGTTTTGAGACTGTGAAAACATTGTAAAATTAGAGTTAAGCGAAGCAGGAAAAGTATTTCAATATATCTGAAAATTCAGAGGAGACATTAGGACACAAGCATTTCAGTCTGGCTTTTGACGGTGTTGGGCACTTTGGGAACATGGAGATGCTGGTTTGGGAAAGCATTCTTGTCATGTATTGACACTGTAGTGACAAAGGAGAGATCTCTTCGTGCCTGTCGCCATAATGCCAAAGCCTTGAAGACTTTGTAGCATGGGGTTTCCCTGGGTAATTTGGAACATTGAGGTTGTTGATGGACCTCAACATTTTAATCTGTAATATGGGATTACAGTGCCCGTTTCACATGCTGATGCTCAAATTGGTAGGGTGTGCTTCCTGTGTATAAAACCACAAGCAGAAAAGTGCCTGTAAGATAAAATACAGTGGAGCAATGGAAAGCTGCCAGGTTAGCCTAGGTTAAAGGCCAACTCAGTGACATAGTAACCACTTCTGTGGCCAAGCTACTGCATTGCTGGAATATTTAGTTTCTCACTCACACAAGGACAAACCATTCCCATCTCTTTGGAAACTGCAGCACACGTGAAATTTAGGTACACATCTTACACACATTATTAAAATGCGGCATTTGTGTGCATGATTTCTCAGCATGTCTGTCTGTTCACTGTGTGCATTTCTGGTGTAATACAGGCCAGAAGAGAGTGTTGGGTCCCCTGGAACTGGAGTTACAGATGTTTGCAAAAGGCCATGTGGGTGCTAGGAATCGAACCTGCATCCTCTGCAAGAGTGGTCAGTGCTCTTAACTGCGGAGCCATCTGTATAGCCTCAAATTTTTAATTTTAAAAAGAAAATTTTTGCCTTTTATGTATTGATTATTGTTTTTTGGGGGGATCAGGCACTCAAAAGCATCTGGGAGACGTAAGGGAGCCGCAGTCGCACTCAGAGGGACCTGCTGTTCAGGGGAGCGAAGCCAGGGCTGGACTCCACGGTGCTGTTTCCTCAACGTGCGGTTTTGGGTCCTACAGTTATTTCATGGAAGGCTTTCCCTGTGAACACCAGGAATCAATTTTCTCAATTAATTTACAGAATATTGACCAGATAAGCCAAGTCATTTTTTTCAATAAATACACATTTCCTGTGGTACAGTCGAGAGAATTATTTCAGCTAATGTCCAATTTCGCCTGCCAATCACGAGCCATTAAGTAGAGGGCGCCCATAATTTGGTAACAATCTCATGCAAAAACAAAGACCCAGCGTACTCAACATGCATGGAGTCTGCCGAGGAATGCAAACCTCCTCTGAAGAGAAGGGCGTCTTGTAGAATCCATGGTCTGGGAGTGGCGTCCCACTGCGGCCCTGGATGCTAATATTGCTTTCATTTTATGGCCCCTTCAAAACAGATTGTATTTTAATATTTAATGGGGGAAAAGTGACTCTATGAAAAGCTTTTCAGGGTCACAATGCTGAGAGTCTTGGGTTACTTCAAATCAAATGTCTGGTTATTACAGTGTGTATGGAAATAAGGCTGGCATCGCGGCCGCGCACTGTGCATTATGAAAATGCAACAAGCTCTGCAGTTGATTTTGTGCCACTGGCTTGCGGTTCAGGAGCCAGGAAGTTGTTCTCAGTCCAGATGGCACCCCTGACCTGATTATTTTACCACTGCCCTGCAGCAGAGGGTCATCAATTCCTGACTTGAAAAAAAAAATGCTCACCTCAGACTTGCCTGTGTTTTTCTGCTTCTTCTGGGAGATTCTGTTGACTCACGGGGCTTTGCTCGTGTGGATAACGGTCTGCATTGCCCTGTGTGTGTGTGTGTGTGTGTGTGTGTGTGTGTGTGTGTGTGTGTGTGTGTGTACGCGCGCTCACGCTCCTCTCTTCCCTCCACCCCCACGCTTCTGAGCTCTGCCTCATCTGGCAACAGTGATTCAGAACCAATCAAATCAGTCTCTTAGGGGAATCTGAGAGAGTTATTAGTTAGGTGGGGGGTAGCTGAACCAAGGCAAAAGGATCCAGAAACAAGCAAGGAAGGGGAGAGGGTTAGGTGGTGAGTCTCAGCATAAACAGGCCTGGCTCATTCACCTGTGCGGAAAACAAGAGAGAGAAAGGTTTAGATTTTTGTCCTCAACATCAACTGTTTCCTACTGTGCAGGAAACCGAAGACCCAGCCCTAAGTAAGAAAAGATGAGGTGTCACACAGGAGGAGGAGTGATTACAGCCAGGTTGGAGAGGATGGGAGAGGGTAGCCCACACAGGAGAAGCTTCGTGTTCTTGGGTGTCACTGAAGTAAACGCCCACTCATTGTTACAGGCGAGTGAATGTCAAGTGTAGACTCGAGAGAAGAGTTTTGCTTCAGGTGGCAGGAAACCCATGCGCCCATGAGAGATGAATACGGGGATCTCGAGAGGCTGCAAACCAGGGGCAAAGGTCAACTGCGTTCCCCACAAAGGAAAATCACATCTGTGCTCTCTTAACTGAAAGCTGAAAATAAAAAGCTGGTTTTGCTATGATTTGCCTTTCCCTGCTTTAAACGCAATCTTTTCTTCTTCACCTAATAGAGTTGGTAGATGAATTATCTTATCATTTTCTATGGAAATTTTTATAAAGTTATAATAAAATGTGCATGGCAAAACATTTTCTGAGGCTTTCCAAACTTTCTCTGAAATCTTAAGTTACTTTAAGCAAACAAATAATTTTCCCTAAGTCCTACCCAATAAAATTAATTTATGAGTTCAATTGTTTTCAGTGTAAGACTTTTCTTAAAATATGCTACCTTAAAAGCATATTAGAAAGCCAGCCTGGGCAGGAAACTAGAAAGTGTGTGTGTGTGTGTGTGTGTGTGTGTACGTGTGTGCCTGTGCATGTGTGTGTACTCACGTGTGTGTGTGAATGTGTACGTGTGTGCACGCGTGCGCGCGTGTGTGTGCGCCTGTGTGCCTGTGTGCCTGTGCGCATGTGTGTGTGTGTGTGTGTGTGTGTGTGTGTGTGTGTGTGTGTGTGTGTGTAAGATCCTAGGGAAGGAGGGATAGTAGAACACAGTTGATAAGAAGGGGATAATGGAGAGGGAGGATTAAATGGGAAGAGGTCAGGAGGGTAGGACACAGAAAGGGGAGGAGCAATTAGCACAAAGAATGTTGGAAAAAGTCATATGGAAGCTACATTTAATACGTATGCTGTAAACACACATGCTAACAATACAGGAGAAGGGGGAGAGGGGAGGTACGGAGGGAGGGAGAGAGAGAGGCAGACAGAGACAGAAAGATAGACAGACAGACAGAGATTAACTTGAGTTGCTGTACACAAGGCTTTATGCTCATCCAAAAGCCATGAATTGGCAAATAGAAAGCCCAGTGCAGGTGTGGGATACCCCCTCTTGAATCATTGGTCAGAGGCCCCAGAGACTCCCCAGAGACCCCAGAGACCCTCCAGAGTCCCTCCAAAGCAATGTTGGCTTTTGCCATTGCTCATGATTACCCACAGGAGCTTGATGAGAAGAGTCTGTTGCTGAAGCTACCACACACTCTGGCCACACAGCATGGAGAAATCAGTTTTCATCACTGTTGACCAGAAAGCTTCTTTTCTGCATGACATGTTTTGCAGAAGATGCCTCAAAGGCTGCTGGGAAAGAAATATTATGATCAGTTTCACCCAGCTGTGAACCTCTAAGCTACCATAATGACCAACCAGGCAAAATATGTCCGTGAAAGTGGCATTAATATTGTGGGGAAGCTACTTGCTGATTGGGTTTAAGGTTCACTCTGTGGGGAGAAATAATTACTGTGATTCTGACCAAGAATCTGTGGTGGGGAACGTGTAGGTCCCAGGGATGAACCGGCTACTGTTATTTTGCTAAGTAGCCTATCATCAATCTCTGCCCTGTGAGTGCTTATCTTTATGCCATTAATGCAGCTCTCAGACACATGAGAAGCTTCTTTGTGCACTGAGTGGTGGATAATGCAGAAACCTACAACTCGTCAAAGTGCAGAGAGTGGGTGTCCGTGGGGTGCTCAACCATACGTGAGGCATCTGTATTGCACTCCATTTCTTCAAGGCTCGGGGATCACCAGGGAAGCAGAAGTGGAGATGATGTGTGAAGACCCAGAGACGGCAGAGGCGTGGATCAAAACTGTCTTCTGGACATGGCAGGACCCAGGCACTCATGGGACTCAGCAGCTGCGTTTGCCTGCACAAGATCTGACCAAGATCAAGCCAGCCAGCACTCCATCATGGTGCATGGTGAGGTCCACAACTCCCAACCCCTGGCTGGGAGCTCTCTGACAGCGGATCGCTGCTAAGAGAGGGAGAGTCGGTTTTCTTAAAGGGTTGGCTCTTGGTATGTTGGCCGTGCTCGAGTGCATGGCTGCACACACATGCGTACATGGGCAGCACAGACTGAACACAGAGAGTGGATTATGCGTCAAGAAGAAAAAGAAGGCTTGAGGTGGAGAAAAGTGTGGCAGCAGATCTGGAAGGAGTTACGGGAAGTAGTGGAGGCCAAAGCACATTGTATGCATGCACAGAATTCTCAAAGGGTTAATAAAAGCATTATGTTAAAAATAAGCATGGAGACTGAAAAAAAACTTACATGATGACAAAGTTGGTTGAATCATCTTGATCAGTGTCATTTACACAGTTTTTGGTAGCTTCCAGGCAAAAATCCCTTCATGTTCATTAGTTATACTGAAGAGACATCTGAAAGAAAGTTTAGGCTTGTTATTCAGCAATGATTGAATAACCTGATGGGGTAAAGTAAAGTGAGTTATTTCTTCCATCTTCTAAGAGAGACTGCACGAAAACTGAGTTTGAAGTGGAGACATGAACTCTGCCTTTCCAGTTCAACATCCAGTCAACGAGTAAGAGGCATGGGGGTTTAATTGGAAGTTATTTTTAAGGTGAAGCCAGTGTCACGGAACATAAAGGTTTTTTTAAAGATAAATTAATTTTAATTACCTAACATGCAGGCTTGTAAAGACATCAAGGTTTGCCAGCCTGGGTTTTTCCTCAATAGACTTTCCAAGCTGTGATTTCCCCAGCACAGCCTGTTCTCTCTTCACAGGCCAATAAACCACACCAGATCGGGCTCTCTGGAGTCTGAGCAGGACCCTGGCAGGACTCGGCACAGCTTCCAGAGCTTGGAGTGCCCATCCCAGATCTGCAGCATGTCACTGGAAACCAATGCTCCCTCACACCTACTGTCAATTAGGCCTGTGACCAGATCCACACTTTGGCCCACTTCTAGGGCACGGGAAGACGGGCCCATACAAAACAAACTGATAACAACAACAACAACAATATTCATATCCTTCCTTTAGATAAACAAGGCTGGAGAGCTCTAGCAGATGTCTAATAGCCTTCTCATATTAGACCAAGAACCGCTATGCTTTAATAAATCTACTGAGTAATTCTCAGTGAGGAACTCTTCACTCTTTCCCATTGTCCTTTTACTGTATGGACATATGGTGGTAACCTATTGGCCCCGACAGAAGAGCACTGCAGGCCCAAGAATGGGAAGAGAAGGTTTGAGAATCAGCACACATTTGGAAAACCACCCGACTCTCCTGCTTTCTGCTTGGGTAGACACTCTAGGACAGCACATGACTTAGTTGTTTTCTGCACGGTCATGTCAGAAGCAACAGTGCCCGTCTGTAGGGAATAGTTGTGTGTGCTATCCTTTGACCCTGGAGTAAACTGAAGAAGACAGGAACAGATACATCCAGCTATTTCTGTCTTTAGGATTTCCGACACCCATTTTTAAGGAGTTTCAAATTTACGGGAGAGATGCAAGAATAGAACAGCAACACTCACATATCTTTTTCAGCTTTTTGTTTTTTATGCCGTGGAAGAAAGCCTGATGTACACAGGCTTTGCATGGCTCACGGTTTCAAAGATTCCATCCATTGTGGAGGGCAGGGTGTGGGGGAGTAGAGCTGTTCACGTCGTTGGGGACAGGAGGAGGATAAAACCTGGAAAGGGCTCTTCAAAGACACGGCTCTGGTCACCTCCTTCCTGTAGCCAGTCCTCACCTCCCACAGTTCCCATACCCTCCCAACATGCTGTTTGGATCGGAATATCTCAATGAATGGGGCTTCTGCTTGGGTCAGCTGTGAGAACACTCCCCTGGCAACCCCAGGAGCACGTTTTCCTGATCTCTTGGGCATCTCTCAAGTCAGTAAGGTTGTCAATCAAAGTTAACAACCACGATTTTCATATAGATATATAAGAGTGTGTTTTAATTGACAAAACTGTATTTTAACAATACCAAGACAACATGTACTGTGATGATTTGCTATATAAATGTATTGTGGATGGACTTAATCAATTTGACATTCCCATTGTATTACATATTTAATATTTTTGTGGTGAGAAAAGTTAAAATCTCCTGTCAATTTTCTAGTATCCAGAATGTCATTGTTAACTATAATTAGCAGACTATATGGCAAATCCCCTGAACATAACATCCAGGGCAAACTGCAACTTGGATTTACCAGTTGTTAGCATTTTGTCTCATTTCTTAGTACGTTTTTTTAAATAACTCTTCTCTCTGTGTGTAAACAAAAACACGTTTCTTTATTTGCCCATCTATTTATGTACTCAGATATTTGTAAGCCAGTTGTAATCCTTGTAACATTCTACCCTCCAATACTTCTGCAAGCAGCTATCAGAAAGCCCATTTATCCACACTTTCCACACAATTGCAGGGACCTGAGAGCGATCCCCTTTGCCCACAGGAAAAAAACAAGACGTGGTGGTATGTGCTTGTAATCCCTGTGCTGGGGAGGCAGAGGCGGGGATCTCGGGGCTTCCCTGGCCAGCCATCCTAACCTACTTGGCAAGTCCTAGGTCCAATAGGGAGATCCTCTTTCAAAACTCAAGGTGAAAAGCCCCTGAGGAATGACACCCAAAGTTGACCACACACACACACACACACACACACACACACACACACACACACACACACACACGGCTACAATACAGAAACCGTGAGATTTCATATTTATATGATTCTATTGCATAGCACAGGTTCATCTTCTGATTTCCACGCCTTGCTCTTGTTTTTACTCTGAGTAAGATGTTACCGCAAAGTGGTTGGCTTGAAGAACGAGGGCCTTGGGGACCTGCACCTGGCAGAGCAGCTGGAATTCTGCATCCTCAGCAGTGAGGAATGGGAGTCTCCTTACTCTGCACTGTCCAGCTCCTCACATTTTGTCTGTGCAATGGGCAGGAAACAGCATCTCCATTTAAACCGCATTTACTATGCCATGGGAGAAACTGAACCTTTTTTCTGTATTTAAAAACTTTTTATGCTGAGTGGTGGCGGTGTACACCTTTATTTCCAACAAAACAAAACAAAACAAAACAAAAAACAATAAAACAACTAAAAGCTGATGATATGTACCGTGCATGTCTGCTATTGGCACATGTTAATTTTTCCAGTAGGCTTCTCCTTTTTATTTCCCCCATTCAGGAATTCTATTACACGGGGGGTAGTGTAGCTCTTATGTAGACTCTCAATCCAATGTCTCACCCAGTATGGACTTCTCCTTGAGTTCGTGCTTCTGGTATTTTTTTTTTCTTTCATGGTCTAAATTGTTTGAGATGTAGCTGTAACATTTTGCCTGAGAGAGGTAATAATGAATTCACATGCAGTGTATTCTAATGTTTAAATCACTGATCTATGCACACTTTATTCTTGTGTGTGGTGTGAGGCATGGTAGCCTTTCCCACATGGCTGTCTA